ACACACATGCACATACACAAAAATCCTCAACGTTAGTATGCAGTCCTTTTGGCAATTCTGTTATTCTTCTTGTCCTACTGCTCATGCTCTAAAGCATTGCAGAGAGGAGTTAGTAGTTCTCTGTCTTTTGCTAACAAAGTAATATCGTACTGTGTTTCTATAGTGTCTCTTTTACTCCCTCAACCCATCTCTTTTTTGGGGGTCTGCCTCTTGCCTTGTAACCTGCTGTTCTGTGTAGTATACTGTAAGTAAAAAAGTAAAGGACCTTTTTCCACGCCTTTAGGCGTATAGGGCATATAGGGCTAGACCTATATTTGTATAGACCAATCGGCACAAGATGGGTGATGTGGTCAGCATTGCGCCGGCCGCCTTTACTTCCTGGGACTGCACCCGGTACCCACTCAAGGCTGGGTCGACCTGGGAGCCAAAGTCATTTATGAAAATAGTCCGGCTCCGCCAGGGAGCGAACCCACGACCTTCCGATCCGCGGCGAGCGTCTAGCCACTCGGCCACGGCGACTCCCTAGTATGCTGTAGCTTCTGGCTAATTTTGTTCCACTCTGACCAGATGATTAACTTTTTGAGCCCCAAGGAACGCATCATGCATTCATAGATTCCTACCTAGAAGCCCAATGACGCATGATGCCCCGATTTTATTACTTTCTTTACTACCCCTTGGGCCTGGGATGCTAAGCCCCCTGGGACTCAAAGAGTTAAACCATTTGATTCTCTGATGTTCTATGAAATATTTACTGGTACTGTGTCAACCATTGTTCTTAGTTCTTCATTGCTGACTCTGGCCCCTTTTGTTTCTTATACATGTTATCTCACATGTTGTAATTTTGCATGTATGTTTTTCCAGAATTGTCTATAATTTATGGATGTGAAACGTGGACCTTAACAGCTGAACTTGAAAGAAAGATACAAGTATTAGAAATGAAATGTTTCAGAAAAATTCTTGCCACATCCTACAGAGACCACATTACAAACAAAGAAGTTTGCCATAAAAGTATACAGCACATGGGCAACTATGAACCTCTTTTAACTACATTGAAAAGGCAAAAAATGCAATCGTATGAACATGTAATAAGATCTAATGGCGTCTCAAAAACAATACTGCAGGGCTCAGTAGAGGGAAAAAGGAGAAGAGGCAGACCAAGAAAGACCTGGTTACAGAATCTGACTGACTGGACAGGCCTCAGGCCTGCAACCATGAAGTCCATCGCAACTGACCTCCAAAGGTGGAGGGAGCTGGTCAGCAAGTCCACAGCAACTGGTGAACCAACAACACATAGTGTTACCGGATGATGATGATGATGATGATAATTGTCCATGTCTTGCATTGACAGCACTGAGTTGGTACACAAAGCACATATATCAGCTGCTCTATCGCGTACATGTTGATATTTTGGTGCCTCAAAATTGGTGCTATTATAATACATTCTTCAGTGTGACAATTAAAAAGTATGGGATCTGTGGCAGATTTTTAAAAAGAAGAGGAGTCTCTAGGACTTAACTAACTAGAAACCCCTGTTTGTAACTGTATAATTTAATGTAGAAAGTACCGTTTGAAACACACACAAAAAATAATTTTAAAATGTATAAACACAATTTAATTGCTTCATTCTATTGTTCTTCCCTTTCACATAACCACAGGTTAGTTGTACTAGTAATTTTCATAAACATTTCTTGTGTAACCCTCAGGGTTATAACTGTGACATAAAGTGTTCATCGAGTTCTTGGCGTATATATTTGTTATACTTTGTACAATTTATTTAGAACGATTTTGTAATTTACATTATTATTTCAAACATAGCTTTGTTTACACCATTCTGAGTTGTGATTGATATAGAAATTGTACTATGAATATTCAGATAATCTTACTAACACTGTGTTATTATAATAGTTAATTTTTTATTACCACAGGTGTGCTGTTCCTGGACTTGCTAATGACACATACATTATTGTAAGCAATGAACATGCTCGGATTGTCAATGCATCCATCCCTTTGGATGATACATCAGGCAGTCCAGGCAGCTTCTCTCAGTGCTCAGTCTGGATACTGGATGAAACATCAGGGCAGGTCACTGAAGACACCTGCAGAAGTTGGGTCTATGATGACTCTCTCTTCCAGTCAACTGTTGTTACTAAGGTAATAGTCCATTTCCATCTAAAAAGACTATTTTTACTGCCTGTGTTTACCAATGTTTATCCGGGGGGGAGGCATGGTGTCCGCCTTGAGTGCTAGAGGACTTTGCTATCGTTGTACCCTTCACATGAGGTACACATTAAAGCTATCCCTCATCATATTTTACTCTATAAATGGCTGAAACAGGTCTACTTCACAACGTTGATTTTACTAGCTTCAGATAAATCTGATAAACACAGGCTTTGTTTAACTTTTGAGTCTTCTAAAGCCGTAAATCAGGTTGGCAATCATGTAGAATACTGCTCGGTGGCCACATTGTTTTCAAACAAACAGTAACTCTGTAAACCTTGCAACTATACTATATTTTCAGCTTTTAAACCACATTTCCAAATGAGCATGCCTGATATCAAACACAAAGAACTTGAAAGGAAGTTAAATTGAGCAGTCCGTGTTTTATTACCGGTCATTGGTAAATTAAAAATCTTCATTTGTCACTTGCCAATTGGGCCGCTTGGTTGTAACCAATTAGCATGTGATGCGTTCCTTAGGACTCAAAGAAATAACAACAGTGGAAAGGGAGAAAAACAAATGCACATGTAAAATCAAAACTTTTGGCTGCAGCAGCCTTTATTGACAAAAACCACAACAACAAAAGAGATCTAAAACAAATATTTAAAAACCTTTTAAGCTGGTGTAAAAGAGGGGTATCGTGAGCCTGGGTATTTCAGCTTACATTGCTAGTGCAGTCATCATGGACTGTGCAGTTTCGGATTTTCTCTGCCCTGAAAAAATCTCCATCCCCAAAAGAAGGTGATTCAGATTCGCCCGAATGAAAGCCCAGTGTTCTAACTACTTGGCCAGCTGCTTCTGTCTATATCCTCAAAACATTGTGCATCATTTGGTCACCAAGTTACTGTTGATTGTTTGATAAGTAACACCCCCCCCCCCCCCCCCCCCCACCACCGCACACACACACACAATTTTTTATGTATCTAGATGTGCCGGACTTGATTTCGTATCTAAGGTCTATTTAGTCTGCGGGATATATTGATCTTTCTTAGCCTACCCCATTTCCTCTTTCCTTGTATCAAGCCCTGTAGCAAGTTTTTGAAAGACAAGAATATCCTATTTCATACCCACGCTACTGTATTATGCACTTTTTTGCTGTTGTTGACTATTTTAGTACCAGAAGGTTTCACAAGAGGAACCAAAGGGAAGAAATAACCATGATTAAAAACAAGCGTAAATACATTAATTTCTGAGTGGCAATATATCCAGTGGTAATGACCACTGGGAAAGCAAGGTTTTTTTTAGTATCTTCTGCCTAAATTTTAAATGTAAGAGGATTTATTATGCTACAGAAAAATCAAGGGATTGAGTCACTATCATGCCAGGTATTGCATTGGACTGAAGGAGTTAAAAGAGATTTGTAGTTGCTGGAGTACTGATTGGGGAATTTTCTCTTGTGTGATATGGTGTCTGTATGATATACCAAGGATCTTGTGAAAGCCTTTCATTGTATTTTTCTACTGAGTTTTAACGTACCAGGAAAGAAAGGCAGGGGCCAGCTAGCATGAATATTAGCGCATGATATAAGTGACACTTTAGGTAGGAAAGTGTATGAGATGGGAGAGCTGGCGAGAGACCAAGTTTCTTTTTTCCAACAGACGGTGATGAAAACGATGTTATGCAAAGTACCTGCTAGATGATGGTGATGATAATACTGTTGACCACCTCACTAACTCAGTGGTTTTTTGTATACTAAGAAAAATGTGACTAGCACCACATAAATGATGTGCCAACAGCGTAAAAAAGTATCCATTTATTAACCTACTTCATTTATATAAAATATTGCATTGATGTACTTTTCTGTGCTAAGTGGGTATTGGATTGTCTGTATATAACTCTTGCCAGAAGATGCCAAAAGAATTGAAAATTTTGGCATCAACATGGCAACATAGGAGGCTGCTGCACAGGACTGTTCTGGATGGCGTACATCCCTCAGGGGTGTTGCATCAGCCTGCCAGGCAGTGGAGGTTGCACAGGCAGAGAAATGGAGGCAGACTAGAAAGAACCGTATTGCTAATCCTACACTCACTGGGGCTTCCACCTCTTATCTGCACTGTTCAAGAACTTTCCAGGCTCATATTGGACTAATCAGCCAATTTTGTACTCATAATCATTGATCATTACTACTTTGAATGAAAAGTGGTCTTCAACACACGTGATGGACAAACAACAATATAATGCACAGTTATGGTTTGTGCATAAGTGAAGGACTTTTTTAAACCCTGTTGGGCATCAAGTCAATGATGTTATACTCATATTTTTTATAGACCAATTGCCACTTGGTGATCATATCAAGCTGGCCACGTTTACTTCCCAGGACAGTACCAGGTAGCCACTTGGTGGTCACATCAAGCTGGCCACATTTACTTCCCAAGACAGTACCAGGTCCCACGAGGTTAGCGAGGGAGCAAAGGTGAATTTTAACAAAATTGGGCCTTGATGCAGATTCAAATCCAAAATCTTTAAGCTGGTAGGCGAGCGTGTGGCTTAATGACTAGTAAAATAATAATACTGTTTAAAAGTTAGTTGTGTATCCTTTACAGGACATTGTAGAACCAAGCCCAGCATTTTTTGGTTGTTAGGGTTTTTCTAGGCTTATTTATGTCCAGTAGTTTGCCATTGCTTTCTGGACCATTGGCTTATCAATACCACTGTTGAAACCAACACAGGGAGCAAGGCCCGCAGCTGATGCCAACTAATGATACTGACTGACTAATAAATACATTTTGTACATTTCTGCATATAACATTTACGTTAAGTACATTTGGTATATATTATTTCAGTTTGATCTTGTATGTGAGCATAAAATGGCTCGCTCTCATGCACGTATGATACTGATGGGTGGACTGCTTATTGGAGCAATAGGAACTGGAGTAGTTGCAGATACGTAAGTATAGACAATTTAGAGTAAAGGAGAAAGTTAAGCGGTTTACAAAGTTAAATATAAAGAGCTGGGAGAGGCGGCTAGATTAAATACAAAAAACTCCCCATATGGGCTCCGGAGCCCACTTGTAGGGAGAACAAGACTAGACCCTTTCGCACTGACTACCAAAAAGCAATTTGTAGGAGTCAACTAACTGGGAACTTTCTTCAAAGTCGAAGTGCATCTGCCTGAGAGGCAAGGAACCAGCAGTCTGATACAGGTAATCCAGATCTGTTAAATGGATGTGCACACAATATTCAGATTCTGGAACAAGACTAAAGCCCTGAAGTGGATGAAAAACCAGAACATTCCATGGAGCCGGTGAACCCGAAGAAGAAAAATAGAAAACAAAATTATTATTATTATTTGTTTTATTTATTCTAGTTAGTAAAATATCTGACATGTCTTATATGTGTATTTAACTTTGATCTTCAGCAGCAAAGTAAACAAAGGATCCTTTTCAAATATGTTGTCCTTCATGCATATGATGCTAGATCTATATTTTTATGGACCAACTGGCACTTGATATGGATCAGCTGGCACTTGATATGGACCAACTGGCACTTGATATGGACCAACTGGCACTTGATATGGACCAATTGGCACTAGATATGGACCAACTGGCACTAGATATGGACCAACTGGCACTAGATATGGACCAACTGGCACTTGATATGGACCAACTGGCACTTGATATGGACCGACTGGCACTTGATATGGACCGACTGGCACTAGATATGGACCTACTGGCACTTGATATGGACCAACTGGCGCTAGATATGGACCGACTGGCACTTGATATGGACCAACTGGCACTTGATATGGACCAACTGGCACTTGATAAGTGATGTCATTATCAAGCTGACCCACTTTACTTCCCATGACATTTACTGGTACTTAATTTAGGGTGGATTGACCTAGCAGCAGAGTCAGATTTGAAGAAATAAAAAATCCTGCCTTGATGGGGATTTCAACCCTCGACCTTCGGCCAGCAGGTAAATGTCGACCACTATGCTACCCCAGTTGTTTTATCAGTATAGTACAACATACAATTATTTATATATACATCATGTGCCATAAGTTTCCATACAGAGGGATACAAAAACAACATTGTTTTGAGAAAGGATTTTAATACATGTCTTCCACTGCTAACATATATAGCTGAAGTTTTGCTTTTAATGTCATGGGTGTTATGTTTTTATCCTCCTAATGTATGGAAACTTACTGAACATCCTAGTAATTTATAAGTGTTAATTAAAGTAAAGGTCCCTTTTCCACGCCATCAGGCGTATAGGGCATTTAGGGCTAGACCTATATTTTTATAGACCAATTGGCACAAGATGGGTGATGTGGTCAGCATCACGCCCTGGGACCTTTACTTCCGGGGACTGCACCTGGTACCCACTCAAGGCGGGTCGACCTGAGAGTCAATGTTTTTGAAAACAGTCGGCTCCGCCAGGGAGTGAACCCACGACCTTCCGATCCACAGCGAGCGTCTAGCCGCTATGCCACAAAGACTCCCATTGGGCATATAGTGCTTGACCTATATTTGTAACAAACGGTGTGTTTATGTTCTCGTTGTCTAGGTAGTGTTCATGCGTGTGTGGTGGATGTTCTTCTCACACGCTCCACGTTACACAATTGGTACAAGCCGACACCTATGTGAGCTTACGAGACATGAGTTTATTGACGTATTCACACTTAAAAGAAAGTCCTGTTGTTGTCCTAGTAAACAGCTCTTGTACACAACTTCACACAGCCTTCAACGAGCAGTCTTCTTCAAGCCTTCACTGACCAAAGTCGGCTCCCATGGCTTCACATTGAGGTTCTGTCCATCACACACACTGGCATGGTCGATCTCGGCTTCACACTTCGTCGTCAGAATCTCCTTTCTCCACAAGCACTCTTACGTTGACATTCTCACTTTTAGTCGCACGTCCTCTCACTCCAACAGGTCGACACAAACTACACTTGACCAGAGTCAAGTCTGACTTATACCACGGGTTAGTTTCACGTGACAACACGTGGTGGTCCTTTACTTTTCACGTGGCGACCTTTGGTCGAATTCTCGTGGTACCCGTGATAACTAGCGGTCCTCACCTATCTCAAGATTCTCGTTTAATCCGAGTATCTGGACTATCTCGGTGTTTTAGGTCAGCTTTGGGCCTTCCCCCAACCATCCTAATCTGGGTGAAAATATCCCCCATTGCAATATTTCATGTGTAAGTGTTACTCTCTTAATATTATTTGATTACAATAAATAAGCTGAATTATTAAATATTCTGAACTGATAAATGAACAAAATATTATAAAATATAAATAAAAATATTCTAGCAGTTTGTAATTGTTACTTTATTGAAATAATTAATTATAATGTTTTTGGCATCTGTTCATCTTTTCAGATGATAGGTTTAGTTTGTGATTTAGGGCAGCATAATTACAACTGCGGACAGCAGTGGCAAGGTAGAATAAATAACAGTTATTCCACAATAAATGAATGGCATTTCAGGACCATTCTTGCCAACAATATGTTGATGTGTTGCTTCTCAATAGCTCATGCTGTAAAGGGTACCTACACAAAGATAGAATTTGGGGGATGAGTGGGGGAACAGGAAAAGGTGGAGAAGGAAAGGGGGGTCAATGAGCATGAGCTTTGTTAAAAAAAAATTATTATTTTTATTATATGCTAAATGATGAATAAATATAATTAATATATTTGGAATAATGTATAAGCAAATACTTGAAAAAGAACTTCAGTACATAGTGGAGGCAGAGGGAAGTATGCTTAGCCCTTTCAGCTCTTTTCTAGGGTACAGTTTTTTTTAGGGATGGGGGGCATGGTGGGTAGAAAGGAACCAAGGTGCCTGACCCTAAGTTCTGCTTCCCTTGTCTGCAATCATTTTCTTCTTCATGTTGTCCCCATTTAATCTTTTCCTCTGTGCATAATCCAGGGTATCATGTTCCCATTCATCTCATTGCCTGTGCCATGCTCACGTTCTGGTTGAATAACACAAAGCAACAAATCAAAGATTGATTATAGTGTTACTGATACTCTTCCGTCTTTCCAGATGATAGTGTTCCTCTGTACTATAGAGGGGCATGGCAGTTGCAGCCCATGGTGACTGCGAGTGTGGCAAGCAAGGCCAGCTCAAGCCACAAAGAATCCTCCACAATCATCTTCTTCTTCTTCGTGCTCCCCCGCTGTAAACTCCGCTGGAAAGTTATAATTGTTCGTCCACTTCTGGACTTTGTTCTTGTTCCAGAACTTGAGTCTTGCCTGCACATCCGTTTTACAGATCTGGCTTATTTATATGCAGACTGTTGGTTACTTACCTCTCAGGCAGATGCAATTCAATTTCAAAAACAACATTCCTAATTAGTCACCTTGTACGATAATCTTGTTGTGGGAGGGAGGGGGATGTTACTGGATCCCCCCACCCCACTCCTCTCACCCTAAATGCTGCCCCGGAACCCACACAAGGATATCCATGATAACATCCTCTTCATAGCTCTAAGCCTGGGCAGATTTTAGATACTATATGTTGACCATATAATAACAATGTGCTAGGCAAAGTAATGGTTTCACTTTTATGACAATCACAGAATAGGACGCAAACTGGCACTAATGGCCATGATCGCTCTACAATGCTGTTCTGCAATTGGTGTTGCATTTACGGACTCATTTGTTTTGTATGTAATCCTGCGATTCATCACTGGCATCTCAGTCAGTGGGCTCTTCTTGGCTGTCTTTGTGCTAGGTGAGTTCTTAACAGTTAGAAAGATTTTAAGTAATGCTTTTGTCACCCCCGGGCTCCAGCAGTAAGGCCATCAAGCTCAAACGGGCATTCCCGTTTTTGTGAGGCTGGTGTGGCCGGTCAGGGATCACCACTTTTATTGAGGAGATTTATACACAAATTGAACTACCAGCTTCATCAGAAGTTCAGTTGGCAGAGAGGACTGGAGAGACATGATAGCTCTTCTGCAGACCAGGCACCTGAAGATGCTATTAACAACTATTAATTTTAATTATTTATCAAACATTGAATGTAGGTTTACTAAAACTAGCTGAGATGTATCAATAGAACTAAACTCTTCTGTTTAAGTGAAACAGAAAGATCACAGGATAAATGTGAAATTATATTGGTAATCACATGACTGCTCTTGAATTTCCAGTGGAAATATTTGCAGCTCAACTTGACAATGTGTTTTATGTACTTCAGCTTAAAGAAGTCATTTTTGTGTGTGCTTCATTACACATTGTAGCTCTGTAGTAATGCATCTGACAAGATACAGTGAAGTTTTCTAGGCAATAAATTTTGCAATATATTGTTTGCATCTGCATTATTAAAACATGTTAATAAAACATGAAATACATTTTACAATGAATGCCACAGTAATGTAGTGGCCAGATGCTCACCTGCAGGCCCGAAGGCAGATTTGTTTACAGTGGACCTTGGCTCCTAGATCAGTCCAGCCTAAAATGGGTACCATGTAAAGTCCTGGGAAGTAAATGTAGCTGGCATGATGCTGACTACATCACCCACTAAGAGCTGACTCATTATCATCATGTAGCAGGTCCTTTGCGGAACGTCGCTCTCATCACAGTCTGCCTGAAAGAAACTCGGTCTTTCGCAAGCTCTCCCGCCTCATGTACTTTCAAGGAGTCACTTATGTCCTGTGCTCATCTTCGTGTTGGTCGGCCCCTGTCCCTCCTTCCTGATACCATGCCTTCTCCTATTATTTTTTCCAATCCATCGTGACACTTGATATGACCAAAATATTTCAGTTTCCAAGTGCTAACTAGCCTATAAAAATATGAGTGTACCATCATTTACTTGATATGTAAATGGCATACAAAGTGTCCATTACTTTTTGTATAGGTTAGTTCGATCATACGTGTAAATCCTAAATGCAATAATATACATGTGATTCTTTTACTACAGGAATGGAGTTGGTTGGACCTTCTAAGAGAATGTTTGTGGGCATCTTGGTGAACATTTTCTGGTCGCTAGGAGTTATGTTTCTTGGAGGCATTGCTTACTTCATCAGAGACTGGAATTATCTACAAATGGCTTTGTCTTTCCCTTCACTACTTCTCTTCACTTATTGGTGGTAAGTTTCAAAGCGCATTTTTTAATTAATTACTACAAAGTATGAGAGCAGTGATGGTAAGCAGCTAGATGCTAGCCTGCCTGTTCAAAGCTTTAGGGTTCAATTCTGCATCCAGGTCGATTTTGTTTTTTCATAATTGACCTCGGTCCCAGATTGACCCAGCCTAAAATATATACATGGTAATGTCCTGTGAAGTAAAGGCAGCTCGCATGATGCTGACCACATCACTAATTGAGTGCCAGCTGTATGCCTGATGCGCTAAAGGTATGAAAAGCATCAGTTAGTTTACTGCTTCTTTTTTTTTTAGTTTATTCTTCTCAAACATCCTTATTTAGAAGAAAAGAATGTTTTATCTGACTTGGCCCCTCCTCTGCTGGATTTTAGAAAACTGTTTATGTTTGGTGAATGGTTAGAATGCTGGGCTCTCAAGCGGGAGACCCGGGTTTGAATCCTCAGTAAGGCTGGGGATTTTTTCTGTTAGGGGCAAAATAAAATCCTCACCTGCACAGTTGTGGCAACAGCACTGGCCATACCGTAAACCCTCAGGCTTGAAGACCAGCCTACACCGCAAAAATGTGGTATAATAAAGGCAGTAATTAGCAGTTTTTTTTTTGTTTTTTTTTTTCAGTTTACTTTTGGTAAAGTTATATTTGGCACAACTATGAAGTATTTTTTATCGATTTCAGTCTTTATCTTTCAGATGTTTGTTACTCCTAAAATTTCCACTCCAAAGTTTCTCTATTTTCAAGTAATAGCTTGAATCATATATTTTGAAGAGTACAGCTTTAGGACAAAAGTGGTTATAATAACAATGTAGACTGGACAAGTTAACAAAACAGAAAAGCATGTAGAAAATGTAGAAATCTATGGTTGTGAAGTAAACAGGCAGACACTTGCCTGCCAGAAAAAAGAAATTGGGTTGAAATTCGATCAAGCTGAATTTTGTTATAATTGACTTTGATTTCCAGATCAAGCCTAAAATGGATACCAGGAAATTGCATCAAAAGAAAATGCTGCCGGCGTGTTTGTTTGTGCTAACTGGTCTAAACTAACAGGGGTCTTCTTCTTCTTCTTTTCTAAAATAATAGTTCATTTATCCTATAAGGCTGATCCCTGAGTCACCAAGATGGCTTTTAGCTCGTGGACGAGATGAAGAAGCTGAAATTATCATCCGACATGCTGCAAGGGTTAATGGTGTGACTGTTCCTGAAAAGCTTTTTGATGGTATCACATTTGATGAAGCTTACAGACGTGAATCCCTCTGTCGTATCTTCACAGCACCAAGGTACCTGCTGAGACTAGCTATTTTATGCTATAACTGGTAAGATCAAATTTATGAATTTTCTGTTGTTCATATGTATAGTTTCATTTGTTTTCTAGTTTTTTTGTTCTGTGACCTGTAAGATATAGCTTATGAGTTTACATTTTTTGTTTCATGATTTGTTTGCATGAAATAATTCCTTTGGGTATTGAGTTAGAGTTTTGTGGTAATGTATACTGCGGTGAAAGGAAATGTAAGAGCCCACAGACTGGTCATGTCTGCAGCTGTTAGTGGAGGAAGTATAGGTAAGGCAGGCATACTGAATGCAGTGTTCCAGCGACTTTCTGACAAAGAAGTCAGAGACAGTATACTGTCTGTTGGAAATGGGTATTAAATGAGGGCAAGCAAGCAGAAACCTGTTGGGGCAAAGAGTGAAGATATGCCAGCAAATTAATTCTGGGTGTGGTGAGCATAAAGACATTGAGATGGCTGCTGCATTGGTGGAATGTGAATAAAGAATTGACATTGCAGCACTCAGGACACTCCCATATGTGCTCAGTCCCCATCTTCAGCAGCAAGCAAAGAGTTATAATTCCAGTGGTACCAGTAACTTTCTGATTGTATATCCGTCTCATCCTCCCCATGAGTGTTGATCATCTGCCAGATCCCCTGGTAACTTCTCGCTGCCATTCTTCTTAGACTGTAATGATCTATCTGTGCCTCTGCACTGTTTACTCACTCCCAAAGGGCCTTCACAATATCTAACTTGTCATACATCAATTCACCACCAAATAGTGCAGAGTCAGCTAGTCTATCAGCCTGCTCATTTTGCAACACACCGGCATGACCTGGCGAAAATATCTAAAGGCTGCTACATTGGTGGACGGAGCATGAATGGGCCAAATTTATATCCTAGGATGCTGATACAGATAAAAAGTAACAAGTTTGTTAGTATTGAAATACCTAAAAGTTAATATAGGAAACACCACCAACCTAGAGCCTGACTAGTCTGAATAAACTAAGTTGAAGCACAATCTTATTGTAATCTAGTGTCTCTCTATAGATGTGAAGCTCCAGGATCAGACTTTTCTGCCCCCAAAAAGGGATGGAGAGCTCTTTGACACAGTCCCCAAAGTGCTGCTACTTTTTCAGAACCAGAAAACAAGTCCAATGAAATGTTACATCAGCACTGAAACTGAAAGAAAGTCCATATACTAACTTCAGCTTCAAAGACGCAAGTCTTTTTCAGCTCTAAAATAACATGAAAAACAATAACCTGGACTGAGTTAAAACCCAGCCTTCTAAAAGTTTCACCAACCAGTAATGAAATAGTTAGTTACTTGGTCGATAGATCATCTTCATTGCCTATCAAACTATGCAGTCGATAGGAGACTCACTTTCAAATCCAGCTGTGACTCGCTGCAGCCCACGGCCGATGTTCGAAATCGGACAGTTCCCAGGGTTTACCCAGCTTCTAGAAAATGGGTACCAGAGTTAACACTCTCGGGTAAATAGAGGAACATTGCTGTAGCTACAGAGTTTCGTGCGGATGGGGACACAGGCGGACATTATTTTATCGGCTGTCCGCACTGGTGGCAGAGCACTTATGGTTTATAACTGTGTTCAGTGATGCTGGTTCACATCTCCCGACTTGTACATTTTACTAATATTTTTATAAGTACTCAGGTTCTCTCCCCAGTAAATCCCAGTGTGTAGTGGCTGACAACACCAGATTTGTGTTGGTTTATTATTTTTCTCTGGCTTCCTGCATAGAGCTCTTTTCTGACACCTCCAGGCCCCACCCCCAATATTTTTAACTTGTTCCTGCAGTCTGATTATTCTTGCAGAAATCAGGAAAAATACAACTTACAGTAGTTCCATAGTTTCCTCTCTGTGTGGGTTCTAACCAGTGAAACATTTATGTATCATTATCATTATATATTCTGTACTAATGCATATGAAAAAGAATTGTTAAATAAACTTGTCAACTATGTATTTTAATGGTTTTTTTTAGTTTGTTAGTTTGAATCCTTGGTAAGGTTTGGTATTTTTTATGTTGTAAGCAAAAATAAAACCCTCACCTGCGGACAGTCCGTGGTGAGAGCATTAGCTCAGAGACCCCTTCTACCTCCCTGCCTACACCACAAAAGTGGTATAATGCAGGCAGGAATTGGCAATTTGTTTTTTTTTGTTAGCTGATAAAATAATGACCATTTATTTAAAACTTGAAACAAAATGTAGCTACCCATTTAGATTTAAACTGTAACTGTCACTACTGTCTGTTTTACCACTTGTTTACGCAGTGTAGACTGGGGGGGGGGGGGGGCTTTAGCCTGAGGATTTAGGGCCGCCTGTCTAGTGCTGTCGTCATGGACTGTGCAGGTTAGGATGTTTAATTTTGCTGCCAACAGAAAAACTGCAGTCACCTTACTGGCGGTTGAACTTGAGTTTCCCGCACGAGAACCCCATGTAGATTTAAACGCTAAAGTTAAATTAGTTATTTTCTAATAGCTAGCAGTTGATTTTTTAAAATCTGAATCTACATATTTTTTCTTAAATTTAAAACAATCACTCTCTTTTATGCCATAAATTGTTCAGCATGGAGATTGATGTTTTCTGATTTTAAAATTTGTTCCTCATTTCTGATTTATAAATCACAGGCTTGCTGCAGCAATGGTGTTTTATGGCCTCAGTTTAAATTCTGGAAACTTGGCAGGCAATATCTACATCAACTTTGAGTTAATGGGACTGGTGGAAATCATAGCTTACATTATCTGTCTGGCACTGTTGAACAGAGTTGGCAGAAAGATTGTACATATCACATGCATGATTGTTGGAGGAGGGGCCTGTCTCAGTACTATCTTTATTGTACTCTTTGCTAATGAATGTAAGTCAGCATGTGTTTATAGAATCTGTTTGCATGTTTGTATATGTTTTTCTTTTTGTTGTTTGTGGGCTCTGATAATAAAAATACCATTTGTCAAAACTGTCTGAATTTTTGGAAGAGTGCTTTCATTTCCATGCACACAAGCATGACCTGGACAGTAGAGCTACTCTAATCTATTAGGTGTAGTGACTTTGTGTCGACTTCTCATCATTCCAGAAATCATCATCATCCTTCATGTGCTGTTATACATCACATATTCGATTTCTCCTTTCTGCTTTATTGCATGCAACACTCTGTTTCTGACATGGAGTTCGGCCCAGAGTTTTTAGCTTCTCATAATAATGTTCTTCTTAATGTTTCTCTTGGATGTCCTCTTTTTCTCAGACTGTTTGTTTCCCATTTTAGTGCTTGTTTTTTTATTCTTTGATCATTTTGTTTGAGAATGTGCCCAACATATCTCCACATTCATTCATACCAGAAATACCCAGACTAAAACTTCTGGAGCACTGACTAGACTCAGTTCCATTTACCTTCAACTCTGAAGTTCATGGGTTCATTTCACAGACACATCATTCCGTTCATGACAAGTACGCTGTTTTTATAGAGATCCCTGGGGTTCATCGCTGGAGCTATGTATTTCATGCCTTGTGCAATGCTGTCAGCAGGTGGCTACCCATTCTGAGTAGAGAGTCCGAGCCAAATGGAACAATCCACTTTACTGAATAGTCTTAGAATGCCACAATATCTGCTTCCACTTCCATTCTCCTGCTGAATATTGTATTTGAATATGTGCCATTAAAAATGCTGTGTGTTTTATTTTGTTAAAAAATATCGACTTTTTATGTCTAGGTTAATTCTTTTATCAGTGCGGTAAATTTTATTTGAGTTCCAGTTATCGTCAGTGAAGTGAATACAATCCTCATGCTCACAGGTTCATTTCAAACCTGCATCATTTGGTTCACAAGTGCAATTTTGCAGAGACCCCTGAGGATATTTTTCATGCTTTGTGCAACTCTCAGCAGTTGGTGGGCCCTTCTTCCCAAACCATATGGGATCGAACCTGGAGCAGTGAAGTTGATTCTCTTCACTTTAACATTTCTCTGCTGCTTTTTACTGGTCACACTTATCTTCAATCCCAATTGCATTCTTATGATTGATATGTTGATTCTTTCAGATGACCGTTTTCATTTTTATTCATCAATACAATGTGTGGAAACTATTTGTGTTTGTGGGTATGTGGATGTGTACATGGCTGTGCAGGTTCTCATGCTTACTAAGAGAACAAGCATTTATAAAACATGCACAGTGTTTTCTCTTCTTCACATTTTGCCTCCTATTCTACTATTTTGTGTTTACGAGCTGTTAACTTTGGCAGAAAGTTCTAGTTCATTGTTTACTTATTGACTTAAGTCTTATTCTAGAGTTTTACTTGCACATCCAGTTTATAGATCTAGCTTGTTTGTATACAGACTGTTGGTTTCTTGCCTCTCATGCAGATACACTCCAACTTTGAAAGAAAGCCCTAATTAATCAACTCTTGCCGCATGCTTGTTGGGGAGACAGTAGGTCTATTCTTGTTTTCCTCACAATTGGGCACCAGAACCCACACATGGAGCCCTCTGTCCATCAGTGAGGCATTAGCCCTCAGTGAATTCATACCTCCTCCTCATATGTGTTGCATGCAGCTCATCACATAACCTCATAATCCTATTCACTTCGGCCTCTAATTTTCTATTTAGGTTTATTTTAACTTCTTAGGTCCTGTGAGTTCCAGTGAAAGGACTTTCTAATGTTATTATCAATTGTTTTTCAATTTTCACCCTATCCAACAGGTTGACTTCTGTTACAGTTTAAAGATGTGCAGGCTGGACACGAATGATTTAGGTATTAAAGTGGATACATGGGAACAGGATGCCATAGATTTGTCACACGGTGGGAGAAAATTAAGAATAAAATAAGGGTGAAGAAGAAGCTAATCATGTGTTGGCAACAGAGATCCTGAAATCTTATGCACTGATCATGGAGGATTTTTTCTAATGCAAGTTTTTTTCTTGCTAATCACACTTGCTGCCACCAAGGGCAGATTTTCATGCCTCCCATTAATACAGTGTAAGGTTTTTATCTGGAAAGATGAAAAAGTGCCAGCCATTAAAATATATTTGACTATAATCTGAAAATGTTTCTTCTTTTCAGCTCTTCAGTGGATTAATATTGTGCTTGCTCTAATTGGCAAATGTGGGGCTGCAGCAGCATTTGCTATTGTGTATATCTACTCGGCTGAACTGTTCCCAACGGTCCTTCGCAACTCTCTCATGGGTGTCGTCTGTCTTTTTGCCAGGTTGGGTGGCATGGTTTCCCCTTATGTTGCTGACCTGGTAAGAAACTAATTTGTAATTCTTATCATTAACAGTGCTCATCAATCACTTCAGATAAAGAATACATTTTTTTTTAAACTTGAGGGGAAAAATTATCACAGGTATTTAAATCTTTACACGAAATTGTATGTGTGGCCTGTTTGGGTGTGAATGTCAGGAAATGAGTAATGAAATAATGAATTTACTGTGAAATTTGGGTTTATGAGGAAACATTTGAGAACAGCTGATGTGGTACTGACTACTGCAAGAGTTACAAGATCACTCAGCAAAACTATAACAAAAATACAAATGAAATTAAAGAGAAAATAAAAAAGTGAAGGTCGAGTAGAGATATTGAATTGCTGAAACTATGAGGCAAGAAAAGGACATGAAGTCAAGAAACAGTGCAGGGGGGAAATGTTTAAATTTGTCAGCAATAACAGATAATATAAGGAGCACAATTTCAGATGACAAAGAGGTTTGGATAACAAGAAAGTTAAAAGGGAAGAGAGACAGACAGGATGGAAGGAAAGAATTTGTGTATCATAATGACTGGCAGCACATAAGACAGAAGTTTGTGGATATAAATAAGAAACGAAGATGGGTTCATAGCAAAAATGAATAGATGACACAGCACAGCAAAGCCTAACATATGATGTCACAGCATCTAGTCTGAAAAGAAAATGGAGGTAAAGGCTGTGACTGCAGACTTACAATGACGTGAAAGACAGCTGCACACACAAGTTGTAATTGTGACCAACTCACAAAGTATGCTGAGAAAGATGGAGACAATGATGCTCTGCGCAGAATGGCAAGCATGGTTTCATAAGAAGAAAGATTAAACTGGTTCAAATTATTCTGTTTGTGGTCCTTACGTGGTGATAATATACAAGATAACATCAAGCTGGTCTAATCTTCCCTGGCAAGAAAATATATATGGGGAAAAAGCCATATAAATTTTTCTGTGAAAATAACCCTGTACAAAATGATTTGTAATATCAGTTCTCTTGAAAGCTGGATATTTTAACAAAGAGAAACCAGACTATTAAAACGTAAATCTCCTTGTGGGTTCCAGGGCCCCATTTGGGGAGGGGGGTAGAGAATAGACCCACTGCTCCCTGATAAGCATGTCGTGAACTGTGATTAATTAAGGATTTGCTTCTTTTTCTTCTTCATGTTCACTGGCTGTAAACTCTGGTGGAAGGTTCTTGTTGTTTGTCCACCTCTGGACTTTATAGTCTTGTTGAAGAACCTGAGTGTTGTGTGCACATCTGTTTAACAGATCTGACTTAATTGTATGCATATTGTTGGTTCCTTGCCTCTCAAGCAGATGCAGACTGACTTTAAAGGAAGCCCCCCGTTAGTTGACTCTTACGATATGCTTCTTGGAGAAGCAGTGGGTCTGTTCTTGTTATCTCCTCAATGAGACCCCGGAATCCACACAGGGGAAGCATTTGCTGAAATTAGATTTGTTAGGCTGAAAGGTGCAGATATCACAGCCTAGCTGTAAACTGGTGTTCCAGCCATCATTTTAAGGGTGAATGTAGAAGAAGAACAAGAATCAATGTAATCATAATATGTCTCACTATTTGGTTTAATCACTTTGCCTGTCCATAGATGTCAGACTTTGATGTTCTGCATCAGTTCTATTTACGACATTCCTCTATTTTCACCATCTGACACCGTCTCTATCACTCTGCCTCAACCCTTACTTCATTTACAACTAATTTATTTCTTATTATTTATATTTATTATTTTTCAGTCTATTGTTTGTGTCTTCTTTGTTCTAATTTATTACTTGCCAAGGGTGGCTCTCTAGCTTAGAGATTAGCAGATTCATTTCACAATGCAGTCCTTGACATTTCCCAGAGTTCAAATGCTGGGATGGGCAGATTTAAAGAAAGACTGTTCTCATGGCTTCCAGTGGTATGAGAGTTGCACCATGGAAGATATTTGGGCCTAGCTAGGTCATCTTCTTTGCCTTCAGCGGCTGTGAATTCCGGCATAAAGTGATGGTTGTTCGTCAATTTGAAGTTTGGCTTTTTACCACCACCTGAGTTTTGCGTGTACATCCGTTTTACTGGTTTATTTGTGTGCCGTTCTTATTCGAGAGAAAACCCTGCCATGTAATTTCCCCAAAGATAACAGTGGACACATTGCAGCCAACCTCGACTGTGGAGACTGCAATTTTGTGTCAACTGAACTGTCTGAATTTATGGAAGAGTGCTTTCATTTCCATGCACACAAGCATGGCCTGTACAGTAGAGCTACTTTATCCCTAGTAGGTTTGGTGACTTTGTGTCAACTTCTCATCATTCTAGGAATCATCATCATTATTTTTGTGCCTTCTCCATCACATAGCACACATATTCGATTTCTCCACTCTGCTTTATTGCAGGCAACACTCGATTTCTGACATGGAGTTCGGCTCAGTGTTTTTAGCTTCTCATAATAATGTTCTTCTTAATGTTTCTTCCGGACATCTTCTTTTTCTCAGACTGTTTGTTCCCCATTTTTATGTTTGCTTTCTAATTCTTTGCTCATTTCGACTCAGAATGTGCCCAACATTCTAACCCACATAAGAAACACTATTTTACAGTGTCTTTATGCACAAATATAAGGTAGCCCCCATAGCAGGTACTGCTGTTGGGGTGTGAAAGGTTACACCTACTGGCCATTACATACGAGATGGGGTGGTTAGTCCACTTCCTTGCTAGCTTTTCTTCACAGACAAATCCAAGAAAATTCTGATAAATCATCTAGTACCCAAGGCTGGGTCAGCCCCTGAAAGCTGAACTGATCTGGAAAAATAAACGCCACCATTGTGGATTAAACTCAGACTATAGTCACAGTAAGCAAGCCTACTAACCACTGTGTGACTGTGCTCCGCCCCCAACCCCATTTTTTTTTTTTTCACTCTGCATTCATAAGTACACACACACACACATATGTGTGTGTGTGTGTGCGTGCGCATGTGCGTGCGTGTGCGTGTGTGTGTGTGTTTTTTTTTTTTTTTTTACACATATACATATATACCTTTCACAGAGTTCTATTGTGGAGAGTAAATTTGGTCAAGCTATTCCTCTGACTGTGTTTGGGGCATCTACAATTATTGGTGGACTCTTGTGTATACTGTTGCCTGAGACACTAAACAGACACCTGCCTGAAACTCTGGAGGATGCTATCAATTTAGGAAGGTATGACTTTGGTGACTTAGATTGTGTTTATTTTGCTATACAGCACTTGGGAAATTTTGCTAGATAGCGTATTTGAATTGAATGTGTAAGCTACTGTGTAGATGTACATTCTCCCTCAACTGATTCCAGGCCTAGTTGAGGTGGGGGGTTGCGGGGAAGGGGGAGACCTACTGCCCCCTAACAAGCATGATCTAATAGGCAACTAATTGAAAGTTTTCTAAAATTTAATGTGTTTGTTCGAGAGCAAAGATACTTAAACCTAGCCATAAATCTCAACGCAGTACCGTACTGAGAAGCACGCCAAAGGACATGACTCCGTATCCCTGTCTAGACCGATGGACATGAGGGGTTCAGTCTGGATCTGCAAGAAATGAACATTTCACTATGGGGACAAGACAATTTATTAACCAACACAGAACACACGTCATCAGTCATTTTACACATGTGGAGCTTTTAAGGAGGAGATCGGAGCACCTATGGATCTGTCTAGAGTGCTGTAATGATAATCCTTTCTAATCACTAATTACAGTGTGCCAGCTGCTCTTTCAAGGATGAACACAGAAGCAGCAGAAGAAGTAGAAGAATATGTACATTCTTGTAACATTAATTACAGTTGCTAGACTTATGTTAGTTTAGTTGTTCTCTTCTAGTACTGTTCTACGCTTGTGAAACATGGACTGTGTATCAGCACCATGCTAAAAGGTTGAATCAGTTTCATATAACTTGTCTCAGAAAGCTGCTCAAATTCAAAGGGCAAGATAAGATCCCAAATTCTGTGGTTCTTGATGGGGGAAACCTACCTAGCATCCACACAATACTGAAGAATTGTCAGCTAAGTTGGGCTGGTCACCTATCCCGCATACCAGAATATTGCCTCCCAAAGAGTGTATTTTATGGCGAGCTCCAGCAAGGAAAGAGATCCCAGGGAGGATAGAAAAAATACTAAATTCAGGCTTGGTGTATCGGCCTGCCATGTAGGGAAGGTTGCACAGGCAGAGAAACGGAGGCAGACTAAAAAGAATTGTACTACTTATCCCACACTTACTGTGGCTTCCATCTGTTGTCCGCACTGCTCAAGAACTTTCCTGGCTTATATTGGACTAATCAGCCACCTTCGTACTCATAATCATTGATCATTGCTACTTTGGATGAAAGTGGTCTTCATCCCACGTGATGGACAAATAACAACAGTTTAGTTGTTGCTGTACACACCAGTGAAAAGAATTAAAAGAGCCGACAGACTGGTTGTATCTTGTTATGTTATCACAATCAACGTCTTGGCACATTGGGCCTTTCCCATGCATGCTCAGTCCTCTGATGCAGCAGTCACTCCAAGATACCTACCTCTACTGATTGTTCTCATTAGAAGTTGGTTATAGTTTCTCTTGTGTTTACCTCGAAGATGACATAGACCTGCTTCACCAAGCTTAACTCCTTGGTCATGAAGTCATATTAGTGTCAGACATTCGCCATTATCCCCCAACCTAGACTGTACATCGTTGATGGTATCAGCTCTCTCCATGCTTCTTCCGTTTGCACTGATGCATTACTTTCCATATCTTCAGCTCTTTCCTTACCATTTACTCTTGCGTGCCCAGGTGTGTAGATCCAGATAATGGCAGTTAACTGCAATTTCCAAATGCTTTCTTACCATTCAGAGTGTAGACTGTGTTTGCAGGGGCTGGTGGAGGAAGAGGTATAGATAGGGCAGGCATACTGAATGCGCTGCCTTCTAGAGACTTTGAGATGAAGAAGTCAGAGGCAACGAACCGCCTGTTGGAAATGGGTATTAAACGAGGACAAGCTTGTAGAAACTGGTTCCGGGATAAAGAAAGAAGATATCCCAGTCAACTTCTACTGGATAAGTGAGCATGGAGACACTGAGACGGCTGCTGCCTCAGTGGAGGCAGCACATATGGGTCATACCGATGTGTGTGCTAGGATGTTGAAATGGACAAGTAACAAGTTTATTAGTTTAAAGTTTTAGTGTAAATACTGAAGTGAAATATACATAAAAATAATGTAGGATAAAGCAGAGGTTAGTAAGTAAAAGACAAATTTTTATGTCATATATCATTTAGGCAGAGCCATATTTAGAATATATAACACCTATGTTCAGTCATTTATTTGATCCCCTCATCCCCCATTTTTTCCCCCATTGGCCATTGCCTTCTGAATAGTCGGCTCTTGATACCACTGTCAAAACCAATGCAAGACAATATGCTGCCAGATTGCTAGCAGCTGGGATCGAACACAGCACCCGGCATTACATAGCACATTTGCAGTTTCTAACTCACAGACATTGACAGGTTCTTTAAACAGATTTTCATTTACTTGAAGCCATTGTGTACAAGATTTTTAAAATGATATTATTAAACTAATATTTCATCCTTGCCCTATCTCTGTGCTCGTCTGCCATCTTTGAATTTGCAAAGAGACCAATTTTTTTTTTTAATGGACTTCGGCAGCCATGTCAGCCCAGCGTAAAATGGATACAATTTCATGTCCCGGGAAGTAAAGGTCTAGCACCATATGCTTAATAGACCAAAGGTATGGAAAGGGTCATTTATTTGTGTTTACTCTATTCCTAATTTGCCTTTCAATTTCTACGTTTACAAAATGTCTGCCATCCATTTCATATTGGTAATGCTTTTCTTCTCCAGAAATGATAATCATAGTAACAGCAAAAACCAGGAAGGAATGGACGACTGCATTAAAGATATCTCAGCAGAAGAAAGCAAATGTCTAACTCAGAGTGCTGATGGCTTTCTGGGTAATGTTAAAGAAACCACATTTAGTGATGTGACTGCAAGCAGTGAAGCCAAACAACTTATCCATGTGTAATGTAATTAAAATTTAAATGTTCTATTTTGAGCATTTCATTACTGAATAATGAAAGCAACCTAAAAACTATGCTGCTAGTAAATAATGTACAAATAGTTTTGTTTTTTAATGGAGACCTGTTACTGTAGTATATGAGAATTGCTAATAGATGAGTACATTCACTGTATTGAAATGAAAAGTTTTCCATGTAGTTTCTGGGGCCCCTGTTTTTGGAGGGAAAAGGAACAAACTCATTGCTCCTTAATAAACATGTGAAAGGTGACTAAAGCATTTGCTTAAATCAGATAACATACAGATGTGGGTCATCACTATCTTCTGGCCCTTAAGGAAGAAAATACAGGCTTTTTAGCTGAAATGCTATAGCAAATTTTTCAGAATACCTCGGACAAAGATGGAAAGAACTTTTAAAAGATCTGAACATCAAGGAAGATTGGCTAATAAACACCATCTTGTCTGTGAAGCTGAAAAAGTTTGGTTATATTAAGCGTCACAGCTAATTGGAAAAAATTATAGCAGAAGGCATGGTACTATGAAGGAGTGGCAGGGCTAACGAACATGAAGATAGGCACTGGATATAAGTGACTCCTTGAATATGAAAGTGCACGAAGCGGGAGAGCTGGCAAGAGACAGTTTCTTTCAGGCATGCTATGATGAGAGCGACATTCTGCAAAGCACATGATACATGATGCCGATGATGAAATCAGATGTCTCTTGGGCCAAAAAGTGCAAATACCAAAGCCTAGCTGTAAACACAAGACAATATGCCAACCACCTTTTCAAGGGTGAATACAGAAGAAGAATAAAAATTCATGAAGGAGTGTTGAATTAAGAATTGACATCATAGCACTCGGGACATTCTCATAAATGCTCCATCCCCATCTTTAGCAGCAAGATAAGAGTTCCAGTGGTACCAGTAACTGTCTGATTTTATATCAGTCTCACCTTTCCCTTTAGTGTTGAGTGTCAGCCATATCCCCTGGTAACTCCTTGCAGCGCAAGTCTTCTCAGACAGTAATGATCTATCTGTGCCTCTGCACTGTCGGCTTGCTCCCAAAGGGCTCTTATAGTATCTAGCTTGCCATACATCACGTCACCACCAAGTGTCACAAAATGGCCAGTCTATGTGCCTGCTAATTTCTTAACACACCAGCATGACCTGGAGAAAATATCCAAAAAATGTCATCTGGGACCTCCGAAGTGAAACTTGCCACTCTGCATGGAGTCATGGAAGATTTAAAAACTATGAATTTTTTTCTTAAAAAAAAAACCTTTAAAAAAAGAATTTTTTTTTAGATTCTCTATCTCTTAAATTGAACATCAACAAGTCAATCTACACTGATGTATAAAAAAAAATCTCTACCTAGATGGGAATTCCAGCACAGGAACAGGGAATCAGCATGCTAATTACCACCCTACCATGATCCCTACAAATTTAGGAGTAGTTTACAAATCTGAATTGGAGGAGTCTTTTTCTTCTTCTTCTTTTTAGCATTCGTCAGCTGTAAACTCTGATTGAAAGTTCTGGTTGTTTGTCCACTTCTGGACTTTGGTCTTGTTCCAGTCAGATTTTCAGATCTGGCTTATTTGTATGTAGAAAGTTGGTTCCTTACCACTCTGGCAGATGCACTCTGACTTAGAAGGAGACACCCCTAATTAGTCATTTTTTCCGACATACTTGTTGGGAGGGGTGGGGGTGGGTGGGTGGGGGGGGGGGGGGGAGCAGTGGATCTATTCCTGTTTTCTTCAGAATGGGTTCAGAACTCACATTTAGAAAATCAAGAAGCGACTCATTCATAAAGATTCTACAGTCCCCACAGTGTGCCTGTCAAACAGGACCACAAACACCTGAGCACATTCAGCAGACTTGCCCACTCTACTTACAACTTTAAAAAGACACCTGACCTCAAGAGCAAAGTATGCAGAGCAAGCCATGGGGAACCATGAAGGACCTGCTGCTGACATGCAAGTTCATAGAGTCAACCCACCTGATGGTCTGATCTGAGCATACAAAACCGGACGCAAAGAAGAAGAAGATTCAGGAACATTGCATCAGACTTCAGACTTGATAATATGATATATACATATATATTATCCTTATTCTGTTTACTATTTATATGTCACATAGGGTTTGCAGTCAATTCACCCATTCTATTCTATCCTGCACTCTTTTCAATATCATGAATGGAATCCAGCCCAGCACCAATGGCCTCTCTTATTAACATGTGTCTTCGGGTGTTTCCTGGGCGATCTACTTTCCCAAGTTAATGTATTTTCTATTTCAGTGCCTTTTGGTAATTCTCTGTCCGATTTTTCTTAGGATGTGCCCAAATATTGCCACCTGCATTGTCTTATAACAATTGTTACATTTATAACAGCATACATGCGCTTGTTTTATAAATATGTACAGCAGGAGTGTTACTAGACTGTGCAGACCTTCTCTTATTTCTTCAGTTTTCTTGAATTCATTCCATTTTATGTTCACTGATTTCCTCTGGAATTTGTTTGTGTGTCTTTATATATATGTGTGTGTGTGTATGTATGTATGTATGTATGTGTGTGTATATATAGACTGGCAATGTTTTAATGATAAAAGGTGCCGGTACTCACCACAAAGTATTGATACAATAGCTTTGAAAAATAAATGCCTTCAAAGGGTGTGTAATGCTAGAAGAAACATCAGTGTGTATGTGCGTGTGTATACATGTATACTGGTAACATGTGAATGCTAGTATTCAATATCTCTCTCTCTCTCCCTGCGTGCACCTGTGTGTGTGTATGCTTGTGTGCGTGTAAACGTGTGTGTGTGTGTGGGCGGGCGGGTCGGTGCTTGTGTGTTTTGTTTACATAGTAACATTATGTCAGTTGCCTTTAGGTTCCAGGATATTTCCTGGTACCTAGTTTAGGCTGGGTCCACCTTGATTATTTGTATACAAAATTCTGCCCTGATGTGGATTTAAACACAAAACCTTCAGGCTGATAGCCAAGTGTCTAGCCACTGCTCTACTAAGGCTCCTTATAGTAATAGTTTACATTTCTTGTGTGAGTATCTGTCACCTTACATCTTTTATGTTTATTTCAACCCTATTTCATTATGTTCATAATGTGTACATACTATAAGAATGTATGTAATTATTTGCAGTTTTCTGTTTTGTATGTACTGTGATGAATTGGGATGTGGGGAGGTATGAGTGAGTGAGTGATTCGGGGTGAGTCATTGAGTACGAGTGAGTGAGCTGGTGAGAGTGAATGCGTTAAAGGGTTGGAGTGAGTGGGTAAGAGTGAGTGCATGAGATGCTGCAAAGCAGGGTCTGCATATGTAACAAACTAAAATGGTATTGGAGGCTGAATATTCATAAGATTCTTTGAACATGATTGTTTAATAAATATCCCGTCGATACATATGAGTGTGCTTATATCCTGTAAATATGTGATCATTTTTTTTTAAAGAAATGATTAGTTGAGAGAGTCATTTATTGTATACCCATATATGTATTTGTGTGTCTTTAAGCTTGTTCCTTATTCCCTCTCTCTCTCTCACTCTCTCTCTCTCTCTCTCTCTCTCTCTCTCTCTCTCTCTCTCTCTCTCTCTCTCTCTCTCTCTCTCTCTCTCTCTCTCTCTCTCTCTCTCTCTCTCTCTCTCTCTCTCTCTCTCTCTCTCTCTCATACATAAACATTCTCTCATTAAAACAAACAAAAAACCAGTACTGTGAAGCACTTATTTGAAGCTCCTACAGAAGGCAAGTCCAGACTGTACACAATAGCAAAATTAATAACAAATTGTCCTAATGCATGCATATTTGTCATCATTAAAGAAACATATGTCCTGAAACTAGACAAAATCATCACAGAAACATATGTCCTGAAAGTGGACAAAATCATCACAGAAACATGTGTCCTGAAACTGGACAAAATCATCACAGAAACATATGTCCTGAAACTGGACAAAATCATCACAGAAACATATGTCCTGAAACTGGACAAAATCATCACAGAAACATATGTCCTGAAACTGGTCAAAATCATCACAGAAACATGTGTCCTGAAACTGGTCAAAATCATCACAGAAACATGTGTCCTGAAACTGGTCAAAATCATCACATAAACATATGTCCTGAAACTGGTCAAAATCATCACAGAAACATATGTCCTGAAACTGGTCAAAATCATCACAGAAACATATGTCCTGAAACTGGTCAAAATCATCACAGAAACATATGTCCTGAAACTGGACAAACTACGACAGAAATATTTCTAATACAATTACCATCCCACTGTAAAGATTTCTCACATCTCACTTATTTAAAATGTACTGCTAACAAAATAAGACACAAGAATAGAATGTGGTGGTTCCTTGCTGGCTCGCATCTGATGGGCCCTCATCATTTCTGGAGACTGACATAAACTTCAAATAATAATAATAATAATTTTTTTTGGACGATCAAAGGAAATAACATCCATACATGGACATAGTTGCCTAATTTGAAAGAAATTAAAATTTTTGAGCAAAAGGTAATGAATATAATTAAAAATAACATTGCATACTAATTACTATTTGCCCTAATCATTGGCACTGCCGCAAAAAAAATCATTGGAAGGGGGGAGGGGGTGGTAAATAGGAAAGCAAAGCCTTAAGTGTGCTATAATTATTATGTGCTGAGTGGCAAATAAATATAATAATACACAATGGTACCTTGGTACATATGTCTTTAATCTGTTTCAGATCCTTGGACATATACCAGACATGACGTATACCGAACATGACATATACCAAACAAATTTTCCAATAAGAAATATAAGGAGAATGATTAATCCGTCCCCGTGAAAAAAATATCTTTGTTACTGAGTCGCTGTTGAAGACACTGACGATGGGATTCCAGCACTTTATGGACCTGTCTGATCTACAGTGATAATCAGTTGTTAAACAAACGAACTGCTTCTACTGGTTTTGACCTTATATAAATTATAACTGTTTTGTAAACCTGAACCGCATGTCTGAGATG